CTCGGTCTGGCGCCATGAGTGGGGGGAGAAGGGTTCGGTGTGGCATCCTCCTGACAGTTGTCGTTTCTGCCAGCGATGCCGAACTGTGACAAGGATGCCGTGACTTGAAGCTGGAATCCTCGTGACACTTACTGTTTCTGGACTTTGATTGTGCAAGGACCGAGAAGGTATCAAGTATCTTACGGCTTCCATATCGTAAAATCGCACCCGCTTTGTGCGTGGTATGCCCACCTCCCCCATGCACACCTTCCCTTGGCGGTGCTGGTGGTGGAGATAGGAGCAGTAGCAGAAGTAGCCGCAGTGGAAGCAGCAGTGAAGTCGTCGTCGAAGTGTCTGCATCCGGCTTCTGCATGCAGGAGAATGACGTTGTTTTTGCGGGCCTCTTCTGGTCCTCCTTCGGATCCCCATTTGAGTCTCCAGTTTGGTCAGCCCGTAACGGAGAACCCGCGCAATGCCAATTCCTCAATTTGCAGCTTTACGTGCAGGTTTCCGGAGATGGACTTGCAGGGGCACCATCGAGGCAGGTCGGGTTGAGGATTCAGGGGTCAGGCGTTTATTGGGGTTATGGGCTAAAGGGATCAGTCGAGACATCTCCACAAGTCCCCAAGCCTAATTTTCGAGTGTGAGTGCCGAAAGCACCTGAACCCAAGCGAAAAGGAATAGTAAAGCGTTGGCCTTACATCCTAAACCTCAAAACCAGACAGACCCTGTGGACACGCTTGCGCAGAGTCCAATTGTGAGCGCCGAAACCACAATGAGGTGCGATGTGCCGGTTTTGCCAGCCTTCAGCTGCACAGACCTGCAGCCATGGGGCAAATTTCTGGACTGTTAGGGTGGTGCTTGTTGGTGCATTGGAATCAGGGGGTTTCTGGTTGCGTGGGCGTCACTTGAAAGCAGACTTGGAGGTGCAAGACTCTGCGCCCATTACTTTTTAGGAATGTAGGTCGTGGAAGTTCGGGTCTAGGCGTATAGGCTCAGGCGGCTCAGGGTTACGGGAATCGGGATTGAGGAGCTCGGTACTGGTTTCTCGCCCTGTTCCGATTTTTGCTCATGCCGATGCCACCTGCATGAAAACGTACTCGAGGCCTGGACAGGAGGGCTTAGATGCACTTATATGACGTAAATATGACGTAAATTTCGTGTTGACTTGCTGTCGCCTCGGTGACTTCACTCAGCCTCAAGCAGAAGGCAGAATACCGGTGAAGAGCTCCCTCCTGCTACATGTGTACAACTACGCAACAACCCGAGTCACAAGTGGTCGAAGAGTCGAAGATACATTTCGCAGCCTTGACCCCCAATTCAGCCACAGCCCGTTCGGCAGTTCGGCTTAAAGCACACAGGAGCAACTGCAGCACAACGCTGCTCAAGGACAGGCAGTCATACCAGTGACTGGAGCTTTCAGGGTTGGCTCTATCGGAGAGAGTTGGTTGAGAGGATTCAGGTTTAGCGATTGACCTTGCCGCAGAACACGACCAAGGGGTTTCGGTTCTGTTTCGAAAGACTGGCAAGCCAAAGGCTCATGCTGACAACAAGCTTCCGCTTTTCAATCCGAGTTCATTATGACGCACGGGATCGCGAACATGACGACTCCGACAAAAAGCAATCCTACAACCGGAAGCTTGACCAGGACTGGTCTTAACATTCCACAACCTGAATACCAAACCCACAGGCTTTCCACCAGACCTGGATTTGCTCCAGTTGGCGGACGACATCGTCGTCCGTTTCCAAGCAAAGCCAGCTGAGGCACCGGCACTCACAGTGATAGAACTTTGAGGGGATGAACCCATTCACGGTCATGTCATGGCTGTCACAAGAGCAGAGTGCTTCAAGCTGCTGGTTTCGGCTGGCATGCAGCAGATGGTAGTTGGTAGCCGTCAATCAAAAGCAGAAAGCGGCTAGCAAGCAACATAACTAGTGGCAATCAGTGGTATGCAGAGAGTATGCAGCAAGGAAGCGACAGTGCTTCAGAGGAGTGTTGGGTACCCGATAGTTGAATGCGAGTTTGTAGAGGCAGCAGGCTTCGGGTATTGGGTGATGGTGAGGTTAGGAGTAGTGGGAGCCGGTGTCGTTTTCGTCCGCCCTCTGTCGCAGCAGGTAAAATCATTAATGACTCATTCGTGGTCGTCGTCGTCGTCGAGTGGCCGCCGTCGTCGGCATTGTCGTCGTAGTAGAAGCAGTGGTGGTAGTCGTGGTGACAGTGGCTGCGGTGCTGCTGATGGGGATGCGGGTGCTGGCACGCGAAGGCGCATCCCCCGGAGGGTTTCTTCAACTACATCTGCGGGCTGCAGGAGTGGCTTGGCCGCAGCTGCAATAGTCAATACTATGACCACCGTGTGCTTCAGTTCTCATGATCATCGTTTTAGTGATTAGTCACTTTCTGCTGTGCAAGCAAACTACGTGTTTCGGAATGCCTTCCAACGCATTTTGCTGCTCTGTGCTTCCGTTTGACAGCAACTACGGCTTGCCGCTTGCACGCGTGTTCAGGGCCTCGGGTAGGCTATCGATTTTTCGAGATCCCCGAGATCTTCGGGATTCGAGCAATTCTTCGTCAATTGAGCTTTGAGCATTGTAGCCCCACTCCACCTGGAAATAGCTTCGAACCATCAGCAGCCCCGAGCCCTGCAGCTCCAGAAGCCTAAGCCCGAAGCCCAAGGATCCAGAACCCTCGATCCTCATTCGGTGAAGGCTCAAGCCGCCAGCACCAAAACGCCAGCACGCCAACAGCCGCGAGGGCACAATGTCAAATCTGTCGGGAACTCATAACACCGTACAGCATTTCATTAACACTCCTATCCGAAACGTTGCAGAAACATCAGGGGCATTGCTCAATTCAGCGCCCAAGCCAGCACTTCGTGCTGGCAAACTCGGTGTCAGAACTGCGCACCCCAGCCCACTAGCTGACCAGCAGCTAATCATGCTGCCAAATCAGCTGATCGGTGTAGCACTGTTTTGGGGCCCCAAAGCCATGCACACGGCAACATCTTGGAAACAAGAACTTGGACTTGGGGGTACCAGCATTCAACGGGTTATACGAAAGACCAGACAAGATCCTTTGCACCTCCCGCACACACACACACACTCACTCAATCGCCCACTCCTATGCGCAACTTGTAAGACCCAACAGATATTTACTGGAAGCTTGGCAGAAGATCCTACTGAGGTGGCCTCTGCCCAATCAGCGCCCTTGCAAGGATTCCTTCGGGGGTGGGGTCAGACCTCAGCCACAGCTCTTACTTGCCGTATCTCCAGGCTTGATTTTGGATTTCCTGATGCGTCCTTAGAGGCGACAGGAGGATTTCGGCCCAGACGTCAGTTCGAAGCTCTTGTGCTTGCTCTGAAGGTTCAAGGAAGCAGAGAGGCAGAGTGTCTCTGTGGAGTTTCTGGCAGTTCGGGTCTTGGGAGGATTTGAGAGGCATCTAGGAATGTGTGGGCTTCAATCTGTAGGGCAAAGGCACAGGGCATGGAAAAGGGCGCTGCAAGTTCAGCTTCGAAGGTTGTGAGACGCACGTGGTGAGCGTGAAAAGCCATGTCCTGTCAAATCCCAAAGACCAAACCCTGAACCTTTTTCAGCTTTAACGGCTTTCACCATTACCCGAAAGCCCTAAGCCCTTCTCTCTCACAGCCAGAAACCGAAATCCCTGAAGTTAACGGTCGCTCCCAGGGAATGCGCTAAAGCCTTAAGTTAAGTCAACTCGCATCACGACTTCACGACGCCTTGGTCACGAGAGCACGGTCTAAACAGAACTGCTTGGGGTAGTGTTGAGATCCTAAGCTCGAAGCCGGAAAATTCATTGGTATTCGAAACCTTGACCTTGGGAAACTTCGACCTTTGGATTCAGGTTCTGCCTCCTCGGATACGTCAGCGCGCTCTTCGTGCGGGCCCGACATCTGATGCTGGAAGAAGGAGAGCGTGAAACTGCCAATTCCGTAGTGGCCTCAGGGGGAGTAAATGGAGCTTTCTCAGAGTTCAGGCTTTGGAGGAGGGCATCGGAAGTTCGGGAGACAGCCCGGCAGCATTCCCGAGTTGAAAATGCCAAAGCTACTGTGGTGCACGCGAGAGTTCGGCCAATGGTGATTCGTCTCACTGTCTTCTATGAACCATACTTATGCGGCTCAGGGGTTTGGGGAGGCAGCTTGGAGTTTGGTCTGCGGTTCACGATTGTTGCGAGTAGACTGAAACTGAAGATGTTGAGTCTGTGTGCAGCTTTGCTGTTGACGACCTTCCCTTTTGGGCACTTGGACTGGGAATCGTCCGCAATATGCCATTTCTTCCCAACCTGGCCGCGTCTGGGATTTGCAGGCTGTCACGCCCTTTGTTGGTTCGTGAGTTTTGATTGCTTTCGCCTACTCAGGCCTAGTCAAGTCTTGAATATGGCGACACTTTTGTGGACACGTGGCTTTCTGTTCGAGCTTCGATTTGGATCTGGTGTTCAGCCCACTACTTTGGAAGAGCACCCGAGTTCGTTTCTGCACGCGTTTTTTGAAAGTACGCCTGGCTTCTTACGCTGCCAGAAGATCTCACCCCAGACGCTGACCTTGGGGTTTTTGGCAGCTTGTGTTGGGGGGGCGTGGCTGTTGGATTGAGAGGTCAAGGGCGCGCGGTGACTATAAACAAAAGCTTTGGAGTCTTTAGAGCTCGATTGCCCCTATTTAGCCTAGTTGTACCGGAGCGATTGGAATCTTGCTGCTTTTGCTAGGCAAGCCTCTTCGGGTGACCCACATGCGCAGGTTCAAAAGGTAGCGTCCAAATCTTTAACCATTGTTTGGGAGCGAAGCACATCTCCACGAATTCAGCCCCTGAAGCCCTCAACATCACGAACACTAACCTTGCCTTTCCTGTTGGGCTGACTTCTGTCCATGGGCCTACGGTACAGTGATGTTCAGAACCATGAGTCAACCCAAACACCTCCGCCAGATTTCCGGCTAAAGCTTCCTACAACACCCCAAGCCCTGCACCCTGTCGACCTACTTTAGCAGCCTTTAGCCAGCCGCATCCTTAGGACTTGGCATATGCCGAGCCCATCTTAGGAAAGGAGATGCTCGATCCATCGGGTTTGGGTGTGAGGTTGCCGATATTCGGGTGAGCATGTAGTGATGTCGGGCAGTTTAGGGTTTCATATATCAGCGGGGTGGAGACCAGATGCAAAACGAGGTTTCATCAGGGAGTTTCAGGGATGCATGCTTGAAGTGTAGGCGGTGTGGGCTTGTTGTTTGGTGTTAGTTGGGATGGAGCAGAGCTCGAAGCGAACCTACATATCCAGCGCAGGCAGACTTAGGCAGATATGCAGGTACCTGTAGCAGTATTCCTTCCCATTCTGTAGCCCCGCTGCAGTACCGGCAGTGCAACCCATCCAAAGGGCCCCGCAGCCCTCAGCCCAGTTTCTGGGGGCCCCGCTCCAAAAGTCTTGAACTTCCATTCCACGCATCCTGAAGACCTTCTGAACCCGAACACCTACGCATTATGCACAAAATGCTGCATACCCCCGGCCCCAAGTCCGAATCCGAAACCCCGAAATCCTTTGTCCCCCAAAAATGCATGAGACCCAACAAAGCCCCATAGAGGGCCAACGCTGCACGTAAGAACACAGAAAGCAAAGGATCAGCTTGGACTTTCTGGACTCGTCTCCCTGGCCCGTGTCCATCCTGGACATCTTCCTGATCCTCGGCTTTTGGGCTTTTGAGAGCTTGGGGCTCTTCAGCCTGTTTGAAGGGGCGGGGGGCTCGGGATCCTGCAGCTGCAGGACGCTTTCGGCCGAAACCACCCAGCCCTGGGCTCTAGACGTTGTGCCTGCCATCGCCTGCCCAAACCGGGCTCTCCGTCAGCACCAGCAGTCGGAAAAAGGTGTCTTAAGCAAAAAAGGCATTGGTCATTGGTCTAGAGGTCAGGGTGTTCGGGGCGCGCTTTTGTGAGGGGACTTCTGGGGCATGGGGCCTCTATGACGACTTCAGGACTGCTGTGGATTTCTTACTCCCGACACCAGAAAGCCCTGAGCAAGAGCAGGTCTTGGAGGTGTAGGGATGTGCAGTCGGCGTCCTTCGTAGCACGCTCGGGAATTTCAGTCTTGGGTTGCTTGGATCTTCGGACTTCCAGCTTCGCGCCGAAGCCACGACCTGTCTCTAGACGGTGAAGGTCGGTTCAGGGGTTTCCAATTCTCTGGCGGGGTGAGCGCGCGCGCAGAACCCGAAAGTGCAAACAGCCGTTTGCCTTCAACTTTGGAGCTCTGGGCAGATTTCTTGGAGATACCTGCTTCTTTCGGATCGCCTCGTAGCAGTCCTCTCTTGACGACTTTTGGCGGGCTAGATCGTCAAGGGTAGACTTTGCTTGGCGGTAGTCATTTTGCATTGTGGGAATCCTCTCCTTCGACCAAGGGCACTCGTATGGTTTTGTTACTGGCATAGCCGTTGAAGGGAGATTTTGATTGTGAATGCATGCCGTCTGTGTTAAACCCAAGCAAACCTCGTTTGTGAGCACAGGCCTCAGCCGTGCGAGAACCTTAAATTTCTCCAATCGGCCTCAATTCCGGAGTTTAGGCACTGATCACAGGGATCTTCTGTAGCGCTCTTCTTAGAAGCGGCGTTGGAATCCAGGAACATCAACCAGACAGACTTCCTGACCTATGCCTCTTGGTGTCAGACCCAGATCCGTAGCAACCAGCCTTACACTCACTCGTGACTCTGCATCTGAAGTCCCAAGAGGTATGTCAGCCCTCCAGATCCTAGACCTGTGCGGGAGGCGTGCCCCTCCAGCCCTACATAAGGCCTGAACCGAAGCCACGAACGCACCACTCTTCAGCCTCGAGCTTGGTCGGGTGATGCTGCTAGCAAGAACAACAGACACAGTAGAGCTTCGAGTAACATGGACTCCATCAGTGACACTGGCCACGACTAGCAACGTGCCCGATCACTAGAACGGGACAGCATGTGTGGGGTGCTAGGATAGTGACCCATATTCTAAGCCCCCATAGCTCTGCGAGCCTCCGACCTCAGGCACAGTATGCTGCCCGGAATCCGGTCAGACCTCCCTCCGTGCTGCTGGAGTCGCTGCACTGGCAGCCTCCGCCGGACCTGGTGCAGAGGTGCAGAGGTCAAAAACGCGAAATCTCAAAAGACTCCAGTTGCAAGCTCCCAAGGTATGAATTCCCCAGTCACCTTCCTAGGCCCCGAAGCTTCACAGACTCCCACGGGCATTTCCACTATCGAAACCATACATAGCACCACAGCCTACAGCAGCTTGCGATTTCGAAAGCCCGGACGACAAGCCCTTGAGTCAGAATCCGGATGCAGGCTGTCGCAGGTTCGGACACCATCCGATGTCTCAGTGGCTGTTTTCGGCACGCATGCGACGCTGCCTCGGGCCTGCAAGATATGTGAGGTTCGACGAGGTTGCTGCATTATTCTGATCGTTTCGTCTAGGCAGCCCCACCCCTCTCCTCCCTACCCGCCCCTGCCACCCCGATTCTAGAAACTAGAACACTTAAAGTACAAAGGGATTATCTTTCAGCACTCGACGCCTTCAGCCCAGTGTTCCCACGGCTTGCAAGAACTCAAATCGCACGGGAAACTCCGCGCCACAGGTCCTTGGAGCCGGTGGATATGCTCACACGGTCACAGGGGTCACCTGGCAGCCAGAAGCGACCCCCTCGCCCTCTGTAAGTTCTGAAGGTTTGGGCTTTAGGGTTTGCTGCGTGATTGACAAAGGGCCCCCGGCTCCACAACCAGAATCCAACCTAGCAGATCTTGGGGGGGTGAATCAACCCCTGGTGAACGGCATCGTCAAAGTTTCCTGAGAGTTGCTTGCAAGGTGGTAATTTGGACGACTTCGAGGTTCCAGTGGTCCTGCTTCAACGCACGCAATCACACGCTTTCTTCCGTGCCTTTCCTTCTCTGAGCAGCCCAAGCTGCGAAGCTCTGCCTAAGAGGTTCTTCCGCGTGAAGGCCACCTTCTTCGGCCTCGCCAGTGCCCCAGGAATTCTTCAGGCTTCTGGGCTCACGGTCCCGGCGCGGAGATGACCAGCTCCGGAAGTCAGTTCTTGTTGCATGGGGACGATCGTCTTTCTTATAAGTTCGCTCCAGCAGAAAGGCTTAGCACCAGCCATCTTTGCAGCACGTCATGGCCCAACTGAAGCCAGGCCACTACCCTCAACTGTCAAGCTCTCAAAAATCCTATGCAGCCCCTCGAACGCCCCAATGCCCAGACCCGACAGCCCGAAATCGTAAACTCCAAACGTCTTTTCACTCGTCAGAAATGGCCCTGAACGGCTTCTGGTCGATGCTGGCTGTCCTTCTTTTCTAGGTTTGGGCTTAAGAGCCGGTGATATTCATTCCGACTTTGTTGCTTCTGTTGTAAAGCATCCTCGAAGGAGCCACGCTGGTGTGAGATCCTCGGCCTTTGCAACCAGGACCCCTTGCCGGAATCATCTTGGGATCCGGTTTGAAGGCTTCGGTTTCCACAGTTTCCATGTTCAAGTCGCCATTCAGTCATGCTTTTTTTTTTTTTTGTTTTGCGGTGTGCACTCTTCTTTACCTGAGTGTGCGCGCGCGCGTGTGTGTGTGTGTGCCTGCTCGCTTGTTACGTTGTTTGGTTTGTTTGCTTGAGTGCGTGTCTTTGATGTTGCTGGGCTGCAAGCTATTCGGGGGCAGGCTGCTGGCTTTGGCATTCAGTCCTCGTTGCTCGGATTCTTACGAGTTCGGGGTTCAGTGCTTTTCTGTATAGAGTCTTCAGGCCCGAAGCTTCTATTTTCAGCTCTCTTGGTGTGCGAGGATTTGAGTCCTGTTTGGTTTTGACGGTCCTATGAAACAAAGTGCGGGGTTCAAGGTTCCATGGTGCAGGGCTTTCGGTCACACGCTGTGCAACCAGAGGAGGCCACAACTGGAGCCATACTCGAACCGCGGGGCGAAAAGCTGTTCTACTCACTTTGGAATGGGTCATAAATCTTTCGCTTTTATTGCAGCAACACTGCACCCCATGGTATGACCCCGTGTCGGATCCAGGGCTCTTCGACAATCACCCAGCTGCTGCGGGCAGCCGAGGGAGCGTCTCGGCAGGAGAAAGGGTTTAAGGCTTCAGGATTCAGGCCCTATAAGGTTTAGGGTTGAAGGTTCAGGGTAAAAGGCTGACGGTTGAGGTTTTCGCAGTTCCTTGATATAAGTGCTCAGTCGCACATGACTTGCCCTTCATGTTGCGCATGCCGATGTCCTGCGAGCTGAAAGTTTCTACACAAAAAGGCTCGTTGTCTAAGCTTTAAAAGGAGACCCCCTAGATCCCCCTAGCACTAGTTTAATGTTGCATCTGTCGAAAGCTTTCAACGCAGCCCTAAAGCCCTAAGCCTCAGCTTTATCATTTTGCGGTCCTGACTCCGGAAGGTTAAGCCGGTGACTGTGAGCCGTCCCTGCGATACGGGAAACAAGCACAAAGCACAAAGTCCAAGCTTGTAGGAGCCTCAACTAGTGCCTTTTGTTTTGTTTGGGAATATCTGCAATACGTTGACTGGGGTGTGTAGCAACCCGCTGTCAGCACACCAGGGTCCTAAGGCTATGTTACATGCAACGTCCAGAGGGGCAGATGAATCAGTCTTTCTTTTCAGGCCGGGGCTGCAATATCCAACACCCTACGTGTGATAGACCGCCTCCGAGGATCCCTATGCCTATCCCTGGGACACGTTGCGTCGTGGCCGATGTAAATAAGAGTTCTGCAAGGTATTGTAAGGTTTTGGAACGGTTGGGTCGGCGCACTTAAAATGCTGGGACTCTGGGAGCTGGTTTCAACATCATCAGCAGGGCAAGGTCAAAAGAGCCGGGCACTTCAAAAATGTCGCCAAACAAATTCAGAACACAGGCACGCCCAATCCTGCAGGAAAGTTGGCAAATTGAAAAATGGACCAAGATCATTTCAGCATCAATGGTAAAATTCAGCAGCTGCCTGCACAACCTTTGTAAGCCGTGCGAGCCTAAATTCTGCGGGAGTGTGGCTGTTGAGTGTTCCGTGGGTGCATTGTTGCCCCAACTGAAAAGTGCGGGTCCAAGTTCCAAGACTACGACAGAAATCCTAGATCCTAGATGCCCCTAGCACGGAGCTCGAACGCCCACGTTTCAGACCACCGAAACCACAAAGCTCGGAGTCCTAAATCGAAAACTGAGCCCCAAACTCCACTAGAACCTTGAACCGTAAACCACTCCCGGAGCAGTACCCTAACAAAGCCCCACTCTGAGGCGCAGAATTCCAAACCATTCCAGGGTCGAACCAAAGCTGCAGGTCCTAGACCCACACAAATCCCCAACGTCAAACAAGCAACACTGGAACCCTGAACCAGCCAAGCCCTAAACCTAAGCCCATTCAAGACCTGGAGCGAAGAAAAGGTCTCAGCACCTTAGCGCTGCTGCTGCAGGGGACCAGGCCCTCCGAGAGGTCCCTCTCGGAACGTCCGGGCTGAGATCGTTGATGCTTCAGGGCTTTCGGGGCCCTTCAGGGTTTAGGCTTTCGGATTTAGGCTTCAGGGCTTTTAGCGTTTCAGTGGTTTTAGGCTTCCGGGGTTTCAGGCACTGCAGCAGTTCCTGGTGCCCGGCAGCAAGCAAAGCACCAGTGGAGACACTGAAAGCTGCAGGAAGTTCTCAGGCATATCATGGAGACTTATGAGTTGAAGAGGGTTTACGTAGGGTTGATCATGCTGCAGTGTTGTAACGAAAGGAGCTAGACATGAAGTGCAATAGCGGGTGCAACATGCATTCACTTCTGCAGAGTTTGAGCTTTCGGGCTTTCCGAGTGCAGCTTTCAGGTGCGAATGGTGCTCGTTGAGTTTCGGTTGTGTCGTACGGCTCTGTTGCAGCACTGGCTGTTCCATGCTGGACCCCTTGTTGCTAGCATGTCTTGTCTTTGTTTTCCAGTGCTGTATGTGCTTCGCTGGCCTTCTTTCTTCTTGTCCTGGATACTGCCGCCAGAGGGCTGCGAAAAGGCATCGCTTCGGCTGTGGTGCAGTACAAGTTTGCATTTTTGCATCGTGCCATGCGTAGGATTCTATGAAAGCGTGTACAGTTGCCATGATTGTGCAGACCGCGACTATACTATCAAGCCCTCTGTGTGTAGAAAAGAGTTGGGTCTGCACTCATGGCTTAACGGCGTACCCTGTGGAGTCTATAGATCGGCTTCGGTCCGTCGACATAGTCATGGACCCCGGAAGCTCTGCAGCCGATGAGCCGATGGAGGTCCCGCAAAAACCTCCACCTGCAGCTACTTCTGGAGGTACCCCTGCTGTTGCTGATGAGGTACCGCCCATTGAAGTTGACTTGAAGGAGCCTGCGGATGAGCGTGTTGTCGCTGATGAGTCAATGCCCTCCGTAACGGAGAGGCCGGCTATCGAAGACGGCGCCCTCATTGCGCCGACCAACCTTACCACCCCTACATCCTACATCAGGAACACCGCCACGCATGTTGTTAATGATGTGAATGGTACTTCGGTCGAAAGTTTCTCTGAAAGCGTGGAGCCCCCGGAGCCGATCCATTTTGGTGGTACAGAAGACTGTCCGACTGGAGCGTTCCTAGAACGCGTAGTCTGCTGCCACTGCTCCGCGCAGTGTTTCGAAGAACAGCGTGTCTGCTTCGAGTGCGGCGGCCCTGTTAAGCCTGGCTCGCTCAAGTCACAAAACAGACGGACAGCATTGGCCAGAGGACGGGGGGCGCTCATCGACCAGTTGGCCTCCGAGGACGATGGTCCCAGAGTCTTTCTTGCCAAGGTCAAATTGGCGTCGAAAGACGTCGCCGGCCGTGGCATTGGTTTGGCCTCTTTCGAAGGCGAGATCATTCGCAAGGCGAAGCTCGCACTCAGCAAGGCCAAGAAGAAAGGCTATGCATCTGTCCTCGACCGTTACGACGACGACAATGTGTATGCTTGCTCCCTCACGGCCATTGGCAGTACAAGACGGTTTGCCCGCATCATGGATTTGCCTTAACGACGCTCACCTCCCCAACCCCGGGCGGAGCACTACGCAAAGAAGAATGGCGATCGGCTCAAACGCCACGGTCAGCCAGTCGTCTGGTCGCCAACGAGATGAGATACCATACTGCCGTCTGGTAAATTTTGATGGGATCAACGATGCCCTTTGCGTAGCGGGACTCACGTCCACGCCGGATGATGCACCATATGCATTCAACTGGTACGGGGCTATCCTGAGTTTCCAAGACTTCAAGAACGTCGCTCGGTCGCCTTATGACTTTCGTCTTCAAACTTTCGGACATGGGCAGATTGAGCTAAGCGGTACTGATGCGGACGTTATTCACGTGACCTCATCGCTGTACTTCGTGACGACTTCGAGTGCGCAGCCAAAGCCGTTGAGGAGGCCAAGCAAGGCGCTGAACGATGCCACGGAGCCCAGCCAAAGTATGCCACGCATCTTCCTCCCGGGCAGACCCCAAAGGGGAAGGGCACTGGCAAGGGCAAAGGTGGCAAAGGGAGCGGCAAAGCCACTTCAAGCACAACTGCACACCAGCGCCCGTCCAGAGACGAGGCTGCTCATCGCAGTTGGACATGGACCAATCGCCAGTGGACCGACCAGGAGTGGAATGATTGGTATTCCTCCTCGCTGATCCCAGCTAGGAGCCACTTGCTTCTTTGTTGTTCAATCATCGAGCATTGGAGGGAGTAGCCTTCCAGCTCGCACAGCATGCGGCCATGTTCACCCGGCGGACTCGCAAGCTTTGAAGCCGCTGCGCTGAGAATTGGTCGATAACTGCATCGCCAACTGTGCGATTTTCTTCTGCATAAAAGCGTTCATGCTTGTTTTGCACTTTCCCCAGAGGCTCCTTTTCTTGGTCGCGTAATTCTGCTTGCACTTAGCTCTGACAATGCGGGAGGTAACTCCACGCCGGTTACATCGCTGCGCAGCCGCCTGGCACTCGTCCACCTTCAGGCCAGACATACTTTGTTGTACATAGTATGCGACCGTGCCTTTAGGTGAGCGTGTAGTTTTGCATCGTGCCATGCATAGGATTCTATGAAAGCGTGTACAGTTGCCATGATTGCGCAGACCGCGACTATACTATCAAGCCCTCTGTGTGCAAAAAAAGAGTTGTGTCTGCACTCATGGCTTAACGGTGCACCCTGTGGATTCTGCAAAGTTTTTTGCCCGAGTCCTGCATGGGCCACTTTTTGGCTTCGAAAACCTTGAATCGCAGCAGTACT